CGTGGCTCTTGATCAAAACTCGTGGCTCTTGATCAAAACTCGTGGCTTTTGATCAAAACTCGTGGCCTTTTGATCAAAACTCGTGGCTTTTGATCAAAACTCGTGGCTTTTGATGCTTTTTCGGTAAAACTCGTGGCTTTTGATCAAAACTCGTGGCTCTTGATCAAAACTCGTGGCTCTTGATCAAAACTCGTGGCTCTTGATCAAAACTCGTGGCTCTTGATCAAAACTCGTGGCTTTTGATCAAAACTCTTGGCTCTTGATCAAAACACTCGTGGCTCTTGATCAAAACTCGTGGCTCTTGATCAAAACTCGTGGCTCTTGATCAAAACTCGTGGCTTTTGATGTTTTTCCAGTGTTTAGCGGCCTCGGGTTTAGGGCTCCAGTGTTTAGGGGCCTCGGGTTTAGGGCCCCAGTGTTTAGGGGCCTCGGGTTTAGGGCCAGAGCCCCAGTGTTTAGCGGCCTACGGTTTAGAGGTCCAGTGTTTAGGGGCCTCGGGTTTAGGGTCACAGTGTTTAGGGGCCTCGGGTTTAGGGCCGGAGCCCCCAGTGTTTAGCGGCCTACGGTTTAGAGGTCCAGTGTTTAGGGGCCTCGGGTTTAGGGCCCCAGTGTTTAGGGGCGTCGGGTTTAGGGCCAGGGCCCCCAGTGTTTAGCGGCCTACGGTTTAGAGGTCCAGCGTTTAGGGGCGTCGGGTTTAGGGCCCCAGTGTTTAGGGGCGTCGGGTTTAGGGCCAGAGCCCCCAGTGTTTAGCGGCCTACGGTTTAGAGGTCCAGTGTTTAGGGGCCTCGGGTTTAGGGCCCCAGTGTTTAGGGGCGTCGGGTTTAGGGCCAGGGCCCTGTTTAGCGGCCTACGGTTTAGAGGTCCAGTGTTTAGGGGCCTCGGGTTTAGGGCCCCAGTGTTTAGGGGCCTCGGGTTTAGGGCCAGGGCTTCCAATGTTTAGCGGCCTACGGTTTCCATTTGACAAGGCAAAGGCTTGGGGCTGAGTTTACGTTAGCGGTATGGATGTTCGAGGGTGGGGTGGGGATTAGCTTGGTGGTAGGCTGCTGTGGTATTAGCTTGGTGGTAGGCTGCTGTGGTCGCAAAACGTTGGACAATGGATTGGGATGGGGTTTGGGTGTTGAGCCATGCTCAGAGCATTGCACTAATGAAACACACTTGGAGTTCCAGGGTGGGGAGGGATTTACAAAAGCATGCCGGTGCGATTACAGCCTAAAGAATAAGTGAGCCAAGGTGCCGACGCAATGGTGCGAAAGATGAAGCTTGGCCTGTCAGAGACAGTGTGCAACGACATGACATGCAAGCTGCAACAGCATGACATGCAAGCTTTGGTAGAAGTTTTGACACACTGCGATGAGGCGCTACATTCAAATCTCACAAGTCCTCGCTGGACGATGGCAGAAAATGCGCAAGAGACCGCGAATGTGAGTATTCGCTGGAGCTGTACATACTCGGCTCCGCCAATGTCGACGATTCGGTCGACTCTCGGTAGCAAGCTGTTGAGCTACTGTCGGAAGGATGGCAACCCATGCTGCTGTGGGTGGATTCACTCTCGGAATTATGGCAGCTCATGTCGCTGCTGTGGGTCGATTCGCTCAAGGCCGACAGGTATTGCTGTTCGTCGGGATCGCCTTGGCCGTTGACGGGGCGCCGGTCGGTGCGTCGAATCTTGCCAAGATGCCAAACATCGGCGCGACGCTTTGCGCGAGAAAGGCCCACATATGCATACCCGCGATCCGGGAGTCGACGGTCGAACCACAGGCCGACCTTGTCCAAGGTCGCTCCCTGGGCTCGCCGCATGGTGGTTGCCCAACCATACGCGACCGGCAAGTATTTTTTTCCACGTTGCGTGATAGGATGCACGAGGATGGGGATGCCTTGGTCGGAATCTAACACAAAGACGTCGGACCGGAGCATGTTGCGGACGACGCCAGTGTTTCCATTGACGAAGCCTCGGTCCTTGTCGATGTTCTGTGTTAGTCTGAGCCGCATGCCCCGGTCGATGGTGACTTTGCCGCTTTCAGCCGGCAGGCCTCCGCCGCCTCGAAGTAGAGCGGCTGCCTCCGGGAACTCCAAAGCCAGACGACCGAGATTCAAAGCAGCTGCGCCCTGGTTGGTCACGGTCAAGAACGTGAATGTTCCTCCGGCTGCTGCCTCCACCGTTGCAGCGTGCCGAGCCGCTGTGTTGGCATCTGTTGGCAGTGTGCGACCTTGGAAGAACTCGAGCAAGGCTTGCCGGGAGGGCTGTCGAACCCGGGCCTGCTCCAAAAAATCCAGCATGGCAGGATCTACCGAGTTCCGGACCGCCACGGAGAGGCTGGAGTTGCTGAAAGTCGCCCACGAACACAATGAACGGGGAAGGACTCAGCTCGCCTATACCGGTTTTCAGCTTGCGCCAGACGGAAGCTTCGATTTGGCTGACTTCGTCGATGACGATCAAGTCGTAGTGCCGCAACCGCCCTGGAGGAACATAGGCAGCATCTGCTTCCCGAGTTATGCGGAACGCTGAATGCACCGTCTCCATTGTCAGATTTTGAAGGTTTGGTAATCGTAGCCGGTACATGGAAACGAGCAGGCCGATCGGGCCAGCAATCAGCACGCGGCAGCCGTCTTCGAGGGCTTGGCGAACAGCCGCGATGATGACTTCTGTCTTTCCGGTCCCCGGACCACCCGCGACTTGGAGAATGCGATGTGCTTTTTCCATGGTTGCAGCATCACTGATGGTTGTGCCCTCGTGCACGAGCTGGAGCACTTGCTGCTGCTCTTTGGACCATATTCTGCGAGGAGGTGCAGCAACCGACCTTGCTTGCCATAGATTGGCATCTTCTCTGCCATCGCGAACGGCACACAGCAAGAGAGCACAGGCTTGGACACGAGCTTTGAAGGTCGCAATGCGATCCTGTGTCAATCCTCTCAAGATGAGCTCGGTCTCGATGCGCGCAAGTAGCTCACCAACATTGGGATTGAAAACCAAAGGGTCTTTGCGATAGAGTTGAAACTCATCCAAACAAAGGACAGCCTTGAGATGCTGACAACCTGTGGGTGCCGTGAAAGATGCTCGGCGGGTTTTCTCTGCGGTCAGACTCGGTGGATAGTGCTGCTGGTCCTTCGTGCAGTCGGGCATGAGCCGGAACTCAAGCACGTCGGGCAGGAAAGTGGCTGCCCATGCGCCCACGAAGATGTCGAGCAACTCAAACGGGAATGTCATGGCCACTCCGCAGTCAAAGTTCTTTGTGGGTCCTGCCACGTTTCTTCTGGCAACCTGCTTCTTGTCTGCATCGACGACACGAAACCGCCTCAACCATTGCATGTAAGAAAGGCCTTGTGCACATCCAAGAAGCTCTGGAGATAGTGTGAGGCAATGTTGATACACCAGATATTGCTCTCGCGAAGAATTTTTTGCTTCGCTTCCAGGGATGGGAGCAAACAGAGCGTGCCCGCTAAACGAATGACGCACCATAGGCAGGCCAGCGAACTCCATGAGCACTTCCTGTTCCATGGGAGAACGTTTGCAGAGAAGCCGGTATGTTTGTCTCCATTTGCTCGTTTCGTTCGGCGAGCCATCCGTCTGCGCTTGCCGCTTGGAGAAGGACAGTGCATCGGAGGCTTTGGAGACATAGCCGGCCACGTATTGCAGAAGGTTGTGACTTCCATCGCCGCATTGCACATCCACTCGACTGCGAAAGATGTCCTCCAGCAAGCGAACAAAGGCGGAACCGTGGAGAGTGTCGCTTCGACCGGCGACATCACTGGCGTTCCAGCCAGGAAGCAAGTCAGCCCACAAAACCGCGTGCAAATGCAGCGTTCCTCGAGACTGGAATTCGAAGCGGAACGACCACTGACGAACTCTGGCAATACCGATCTTCGCAAGGCTTGCTCCGTTCTTGAGGATGTGGTGCTCCAGCAGAACCTGCAAGGTGTGGTACAGATGCAACGTGATGTTTTGCTGCTGGTCTGTCAGGGAGCCCTCGTGAAACATCCCGTTGTGCAGCAGATAGCGCCACTCGGCTGGAGCTATGGTGAAGAAGACCGAGGGTAGAGCGTCCGATAAGCAACCTGTCTTTTCATGCTCCTGCCTGCAAATGTCTTCCATTTTGCGCAGTTGTTGTTGCCAGTAGATTTCGAACCCGTCCATGTCGGACGCAATCTGCTCCGGCGCCACCTTCTGTTTCTCGGCGATGGCCTGCACTGAGCTAATGGTTTTTGCGAGGCAGACATCATAGAGCAGGCACTGCAGAGCGAAATCGTTGCAGTAGTCAATACACCGACTCTCGAGCTTTCTCATGAAGCCTGCGCGAATGCTCGGCTTGTTGCGAGAATTTGTCCAGCCCAACGGAGTCAATCTCTCTTGATAGTCCGTGTCGGCTAGACTCGCCAACGGATAAAGCCAAGGTCTGGCGGCCACTTCGATGCCTGGGGAGCGCAAGAGCAGTTCGGCTGTTTGCAACTCGCGACTGGACAACTCGCCGGTTGCTTGGAACAAGTCCGCGTGGTGATCCACCCACGCTCGATAAGTGTCGTTGTTCTGCAGGAGCCATGTGAAAGCCTTGGCAGCAAGATCATTTCGAGAAAGCTCGCGAAGAGGACGGGGTTGCCACCGACATCTGGTAAGAGTCTTCTTTTGCTTGCTTGTTATCTCAGCTTTGCCACCACGGCGACTTTGCCAATCCACATGAATGGTAAGCACCGCTAGCTGCTGAAGTTCTTTCTCGGAAAGAACGAGTGTCAAAGGCAGGTTGCTCGATGCAATCGCCGCAGACCAGCAGTGCCATGTGCTGCTCTGTGGTGTTGTGTAAACCATCAAGCGCCCGTCGAGGACATTGGCTGGAGCTGGGGCAAGAAGGTCTTCCGCTGGAACATCACACGATGGACGACATCGCTCCGCCTGCGTCAACCTCTCCAACGAGAAACGTTGTGTCTTAACTCTTGCACGCTTGCGGCCACATGAGGGGCAGAAGGTCCAAGAACCTTCGAGTAGCCACAGCCCCGAAGCATCCAGGTCCCTTGTGCTAGTGTGTCGCATCTGCGGCACCTTCTGCAGAAGACTGAAAATTTCAATTTTTTACTTGCTGTAATTAAAACAAGCAGACAACGGTGTTGACATCATAGGAATTTTAGGGTTTAACGACAGCAACCCACAGCACTACCCACAGCAGCTGAGGCTGCGGTCACGCCATCGCTTTACGAAGGCTAGCCGAGCTGTTACATCAAGTTTCTTTGCGATGACCGTTCAGCCACTGGCCAGTGACCTTGGCGTCAGACAGGAGCAATCATAGGTCTTTTCCCTTCATTTTATGTGTCCTCGTTCACATAGCAGAAGCCACCGCAAAAGATTTCTTGAATTGATTTACTTAAAACAAGCAAACAACGGTGTTGACACCACAGGAATTTTAAGGTTTAGCGACAGTAGCCACTTAATTGTTTTACTTGCTTTACTTAAAACAAGCAAGCAACGGTGTTGACACCGTAAGAATTTTAGGGTTTAGCGACAGCAGCAACCTGATTTTTTACTTGCTTTACTTAAAACGAGCAAGCAACGGTGTTGACACCATGGGAATTTTAAGGTTTAGCGACAGCAGCAATTTCAATTCTTTACCTGCTTAGCAAGCAACGATGTTGACACCATAGAAAATTTAGGTTTTAGCGACAGCTTTAAGATGATGAAAGGTCTTATAAGAAACAAGCACTACCCACAGCAGCTAAGGCTGCGGTCACGCCATCGCTTTACGACAGCTGGCAGAGCTGTTACATCAAGTTTCTTTGCGATGACCGTTCAGCCACTGGCCAGTGACGTTGCCGTTTGACGACCGCAAGCATGTGTCCTTGTCCTGCATTTGTTGTGGCCTCGTTCACAGCAGGAACTTCAATCTTTTCCTTGCTTTACTTAAAACAAGCAGGCAACGGTGTTGACACCATAAGAATTTTAGGGTTTAGCGACGGTAGCAACTTTAATTTTTTACTTGCTGTACTTAAAACAAGCAGGCAACGGTGTTGACATCATAGGAATTTTAGGGTTTAACGACAGCAACCCACAGCACTACCCACAGCAGCTGAGGCTGCGGTCACGCCATCGCTTTACGACAGCTAGCAGAGCTGTGACATCAAGTTTCTTTGCGATGACCGTTCAACCACTGGCCAGTGACGTTGCCGTTTGACGACCGCAAGCATGTGTCCTTGTCCTGCATTTGTTGTGGCCTCGTTCACAGCAGCAACTTCAATCTTTTGCTTGCTTTACTTAAAACAAGCAGGCAACGGTGTTGACATCATAAGAATTTTAGGGTTTAGCGACGGTAGCAACTTTAATTTTTTACTTGCTGTAATTAAAACAAGCAGACAACGGTGTTGACATCATAGGAATTTTAGGGTTTAACGACAGCAACCCACAGCACTACCCACAGCAGCTGAGGGCTGCGGTCACGCCACTCTTGATCAAAACTCGTGGCTCTTGATCAAAACTCGTGGCTCTTGATCAAAACTCGTGGCTCTTGATCAAAACTCGTGGCTCTTGATCAAAACTCGTGGCTCTTGATCAAAACTCGTGGCTCTTGATCAAAACTCGTGGCTCTTGATCAAAAACTCGTGGCTCTTGATCAAAACTCGTGGCTCTTGATCAAAACTCGTGGCTCTTGATCAAAACTCGTGGCTCTTGATCAAAACTCGTGGCTTTTGATGTTTTTCCAGTGTTTAGCGGCCTCGGGTTTAGGGCTCCAGTGTTTAGGGGCCTCGGGTTTAGGGCCCCAGTGTTTAGGGGCCTCGGGTTTAGGGCCAGAGCCCCCAGTGTTTAGCGGCCTACGGTTTAGAGGTCCAGTGTTTAGGGGCCTCGGGTTTAGGGTCGTGTTTAGGGGCCTCGGGTTTAGGGCCAGAGCCCCCAGTGTTTAGCGGCCTACGGTTTAGAGGTCCAGTGTTTAGGGGCCTCGGGTTTAGGGCCCCAGTGTTTAGGGGCGTCGGGTTTAGGGCCAGGGCCCCCAGTGTTTAGCGGCCTACGGTTTAGAGGTCCAGTGTTTAGGGGCGTCGGGTTTAGGGCCCCAGTGTTTAGGGGCGTCGGGTTTAGGGCCAGAGCCCCCAGTGTTTAGCGGCCTACGGTTTAGAGGTCCAGTGTTTAGGGGCCTCGGGTTTAGGGCCCCAGTGTTTAGGGGCGTCGGGTTTAGGGCCAGGGCCCTGTTTAGCGGCCTACGGTTTAGAGGTCCAGTGTTTAGGGGCCTCGGGTTTAGGGCCCCAGTGTTTAGGGGCCTCGGGTTTAGGGCCAGGGCTTCCAATGTTTAGCGGCCTACGGTTTCCATTTGACAAGGCAAAGGCTTGGGGCTGAGTTTACGTTAGCGGTATGGATGTTCGAGGGTGGGGTGGGGATTAGCTTGGTGGTAGGCTGCTGTGGTATTAGCTTGGTGGTAGGCTGCTGTGGTCGCAAAACGTTGGACAATGGATTGGGATGGGGTTTGGGTGTTGAGCCATGCTCAGAGCATTGCACTAATGAAACACACTTGGAGTTCCAGGGTGGGGAGGGATTTACAAAAGCATGCCGGTGCGATTACAGCCTAAAGAATAAGTGAGCCAAGGTGCCGACGCAATGGTGCGAAAGATGAAGCTTGGCCTGTCAGAGACAGTGTGCAACGACATGACATGCAAGCTGCAACAGCATGACATGCAAGCTTTGGTAGAAAGAAGTTTTGACACACTGCGATGAGGCGCTACATTCAAATCTCACAAGTCCTCGCTGGACGATGGCAGAAAATGCGCAAGAGACCGCGAATGTGAGTATTCGCTGGAGCTGTACATACTCGGCTCCGCCAATGTCGACGATTCGGTCGACTCTCGGTAGCAAGCTGTTGAGCTACTGTCGGAAGGATGGCAACCCATGCTGCTGTGGGTGGATTCACTCTCGGAATTATGGCAGCTCATGTCGCTGCTGTGGGTCGATTCGCTCAAGGCCGACAGGTATTGCTGTTCGTCGGGATCGCCTTGGCCGTTGACGGGGCGCCAGTCGGTGCGTCGAATCTTGCCAAGATGCCAAACATCGGCGCGACGCTTTGCGCGAGAAAGGCCCACATATGCATACCCGCGATCCGGGAGTCGACGGTCGAACCACAGGCCGACCTTGTCCAAGGTCGCTCCCTGGGCTCGCCGCATGGTGGTTGCCCAACCATACGCGACCGGCAAGTATTTTTTTCCACGTTGCGTGATAGGATGCACGAGGATGGGGATGCCTTGGTCGGAATCTAACACAAAGACGTCGGACCGGAGCATGTTGCGGACGACGCCAGTGTTTCCATTGACGAAGCCTCGGTCCTTGTCGATGTTCTGTGTTAGTCTGAGCCGCATGCCCCGGTCGATGGTGACTTTGCCGCTTTCAGCCGGCAGGCCTCCGCCGCCTCGAAGTAGAGCGGCTGCCTCCGGGAACTCCAAAGCCAGACGACCGAGATTCAAAGCAGCTGCGCCCTGGTTGGTCACGGTCAAGAACGTGAATGTTCCTCCGGCTGCTGCCTCCACCGTTGCAGCGTGCCGAGCCGCTGTGTTGGCATCTGTTGGCAGTGTGCGACCTTGGAAGAACTCGAGCAAGGCTTGCCGGGAGGGCTGTCGAACCCGGGCCTGCTCCAAAAAATCCAGCATGGCAGGATCTACCGACCGAGCCGCTTCGTGATGCTGCAACTTAACGAAGAGAATGCGACTCTCGTTTTTTTCTCGGTCAAGATCATCTTGAAGTTCCGGACCGCCACGGAGAGGCTGGAGTTGCTGAAAGTCGCCCACGAACACAATGAACGGGGAAGGACTCAGCTCGCCTAGACCGGTTTTAAGCTTGCGCCAGACGGAAGCTTCGATTTGGCTGACTTCGTCGATGACGATCAAGTCGTAGTGCCGCAACCGCCCTGGAGGAACATAGGCGGCATCTGCTTCCCGAGTTATGCGGAACGCTGAATGCACCGTTTCCATTGTCAGATTTTGAAGGTTTGGTAACCGTAGCCGGTACATGGAAACGAGGAGGCCGATCGGGCCAGCAATCAGCACGCGGCAGCCGTCTTCGAGGGCTTGGCGAACAGCCGCGATGATGACTTCTGTCTTTCCGGTCCCCGGACCGCCCGCGACTTGGAGAATGCGATGTGCTTTTTCCATGGTTGCAGCATCACTGATGGTTGTGCCCTCGTGCACGAGCTGGAGCACTTGCTGCTGTTCTTTGGACCATATTCTGCGAGGAGGTGCAGCAACCGACCTTGCTTGCCATAGATTGGCATCTTCTCTTCCATCGCGAACGGCACACAGCAAGAGAGCACAGGCTTGGACACGAGCTTTGAAGGTCGCAATGCGATCCTGTGTCAATCCTCTCAAGATGAGCTCGGTCTCGATGCGCGCAAGTAGCTCACCAACATTGGGATTGAAAACCAAAGGGTCTTTGCGATAGAGTTGAAACTCATCCAAACAAAGGACAGCCTTGAGATGCTGACAACCTGTGGGTGCCGTGAAAGATGCTCGGCGGGTTTTCTCTGCGGTCAGACTCGGTGGATAGTGCTGCTGGTCCTTCGTGCAGTCGGGCATGAGCCGGAACTCAAGCACGTCGGGCAGGAAAGTGGCTGCCCATGCGCCCACGAAGATGTCGAGCAACTCAAACGGGAATGTCATGGCCACTCCGCAGTCAAAGTTCTTTGTGGGTCCTGCCACGTTTCTTCTGGCAACCTGCTTCTTGTCTGCATCGACGACACGAAACCGCCTCAACCATTGCATGTAAGAAAGGCCTTGTGCACATCCAAGAAGCTCTGGAGATAGTGTGAGGCAATGTTGATACACCAGATATTGCTCTCGCGAAGAATTTTTTGCTTCGCTTCCAGGGATGGGAGCAAACAGAGCGTGCCCGCTAAACGAATGACGCACCATAGGCAGGCCAGCGAACTCCATGAGCACTTCCTGTTCCATGGGAGAACGTTTGCAGAGAAGCCGGTATGTTTGTCTCCATTTGCTCGTTTCGTTCGGCGAGCCATCCGTCTGCGCTTGCCGCTTGGAGAAGGACAGTGCATCGGAGGCTTTGGAGACATAGCCGGCCACGTATTGCAGAAGGTTGTGACTTCCATCGCCGCATTGCACATCCACTCGACTGCGAAAGATGTCCTCCAGCAAGCGAACAAAGGCGGAACCGTGGAGAGTGTCGCTTCGACCGGCGACATCACTGGCGTTCCAGCCAGGAAGCAAGTCAGCCCACAAAACCGCGTGCAAATGCAGCGTTCCTCGAGACTGGAATTCGAAGCGGAACGACCACTGACGAACTCTGGCAATACCGATCTTCGCAAGGCTTGCTCCGTTCTTGAGGATGTGGTGCTCCAGCAGAACCTGCAAGGTGTGGTACAGATGCAACGTGATGTTTTGCTGCTGGTCTGTCAGGGAGCCCTCGTGAAACATCCCGTTGTGCAGCAGATAGCGCCACTCGGCTGGAGCTATGGTGAAGAAGACCGAGGGTAGAGCGTCCGATAAGCAACCTGTCTTTTCATGCTCCTGCCTGCAAATGTCTTCCATTTTGCGCAGTTGTTGTTGCCAGTAGATTTCGAACCCGTCCATGTCGGACGCAATCTGCTCCGGCGCCACCTTCTGTTTCTCGGCGATGGCCTGCACTGAGCTAATGGTTTTTGCGAGGCAGACATCATAGAGCAGGCACTGCAGAGCGAAATCGTTGCAGTAGTCAATACACCGACTCTCGAGCTTTCTCATGAAGCCTGCGCGAATGCTCGGCTTGTTGCGAGAATTTGTCCAGCCCAACGGAGTCAATCTCTCTTGATAGTCCGTGTCGGCTAGACTCGCCAACGGATAAAGCCAAGGTCTGGCGGCCACTTCGATGCCTGGGGAGCGCAAGAGCAGTTCGGCTGTTTGCAACTCGCGACTGGACAACTCGCCGGTTGCTTGGAACAAGTCCGCGTGGTGATCCACCCACGCTCGATAAGTGTCGTTGTTCTGCAGGAGCCATGTGAAAGCCTTGGCAGCAAGATCATTTCGAGAAAGCTCGCGAAGAGGACGGGGTTGCCACCGACATCTGGTAAGAGTCTTCTTTTGCTTGCTTGTTATCTCAGCTTTGCCACCACGGCGACTTTGCCAATCCACATGAATGGTAAGCACCGCTAGCTGCTGAAGTTCTTTCTCGGAAAGAACGAGTGTCAAAGGCAGGTTGCTCGATGCAATCGCCGCAGACCAGCAGTGCCATGTGCTGCTCTGTGGTGTTGTGTAAACCATCAAGCGCCCGTCGAGGACATTGGCTGGAGCTGGGGCAAGAAGGTCTTCCGCTGGAACATCACACGATGGACGACATCGCTCCGCCTGCGTCAACCTCTCCAACGAGAAACGTTGTGTCTTAACTCTTGCACGCTTGCGGCCACATGAGGGGCAGAAGGTCCAAGAACCTTCGAGTAGCCACAGCCCCGAAGCATCCAGGTCCCTTGTGCTAGTGTGTCGCATCTGCGGCACCTTCTGCAGAAGACTGAAAATTTCAATTTTTTACTTGCTGTAATTAAAACAAGCAGACAACGGTGTTGACATCATAGGAATTTTAGGGTTTAACGACAGCAACCCACAGCACTACCCACAGCAGCTGAGGCTGCGGTCACGCCATCGCTTTACGAAGGCTAGCCGAGCTGTTACATCAAGTTTCTTTGCGATGACCGTTCAGCCACTGGCCAGTGACCTTGGCGTCGGACAGGAGCAATCATAGGTCTTTTCCCTTCATTTTATGTGTCCTCGTTCACATAGCAGAAGCCACCGCAAAAGATTTCTTGAATTGATTTACTTAAAACAAGCAAACAACGGTGTTGACACCACAGGAATTTTAAGGTTTAGCGACAGTAGCCACTTAATTGTTTTACTTGCTTTACTTAAAACAAGCAAGCAACGGTGTTGACACCGTAAGAATTTTAGGGTTTAGCGACAGCAGCAACCTGATTTTTTACTTGCTTTACTTAAAACGAGCAAGCAACGGTGTTGACACCATGGGAATTTTAAGGTTTAGCGACAGCAGCAATTTCAATTCTTTACCTGCTTAGCAAGCAACGATGTTGACACCATAGAAAATTTAGGTTTTAGCGACAGCTTTAAGATGATGAAAGGTCTTGTAAGAAACAAGCACTACCCACAGCAGCTAAGGCTGCGGTCACGCCATCGCTTTACGACAGCTAGCAGAGCTGTTACATCAAGTTTCTTTGCGATGACCGTTCAGCCACTGGCCAGTGAACTTGCCGTTTAACGACCGCAAGCATGTGTCCTTGTCCTGCATTTGTTGTGGCCTCGTTCACAGCAGGAACTTCAATCTTTTCCTTGCTTTACTTAAAACAAGCAGGCAACGGTGTTGACACCATAAGAATTTTAGGGTTTAGCGACGGTAGCAACTTCAATTTTTTACTTCCTGTAAGTAAAACAAGCAGACAACGGTGTTGACATCATAGGAATTTTAGGGTTTAACGACAGCAACCCACAGCACTACCCACAGCAGCTGAGGCTGCGGTCACGCCATCGCTTTACGACAGCTAACAGAGCTGTTACATCAAGTTTCTTTGCGATGACCGTTCAGCCACTGGCCAGTGACGTTGCCGTTTGACGACCGCAAGCATGTGTCCTTCTCCTGCATTTGTTGTGGCCTCGTTCACAGCAGCAACTTCAATCTTTTGCTTGCTTTACTTAAAACAAGCAGGCAACGGTGTTGAAATCATAAGAATTTTAGGGTTTAGCGACGGTAGCAACTTTAATTTTTTACTTGCTGTAATTAAAACAAGCAGACAACGGTGTTGACATCATAGGAATTTTAGGGTTTAACGACAGCAACCCACAGCACTACCCACAGCAGCTGAGGCTGCGGTCACGCCATGGCTTTACGACAGCTAGCAGAGCTGTTACATCAAGTTTCTTTGCGATGACCGTTCAGCCACTGGCCAGTGACCTTGGCGTCCGACAGGAGCAATCATAGGTCTTTTCCCTTCATTTCATGTGTCCTCGTTCACATAGCAGAAGCCACCGCAAAAGATTTCTTGAATTGATTTACTTAAAACAAGCAAGCAACGGTGTTGACACCACAGGAATTTTAAGGTTTAGCGACAGTAGCCACTTAATTGTTTTACTTGCTTTACTTAAAACAAGCAAGCAACGGTGTTGATGCCAGAGGAATTTTAGGCTTTAGCGACAGCAGCAACTTCGATTTTTTACTTGCTTTACTTAAAACGAGCAAGCAACGGTGTTGACACCATGGGAATTTTAAGGTTTAGCGACAGCAGCAATTTCAATTCTTTACCTGCTTAGCAAGCAACGATGTTGACACCATAGAAAATTCGGGTTTTAGCGACAGCTTTAAGATGATGAAAGGTCTTATAAGAAACAGGCACTACCCACAGCAGCTGAGGCTGCGGTCACGCCATTGCTTTACGACAGCTAGCAAAGCTGTTACATCAAGTTTCTTTGCGATGACTGTTCAGCCACTGGCCAGTGACGTTGCCGTTTGACGACCGCAAGCATGTGTCCTTGTCCTGCACTTGTTGTGGCCTCGTTCACAGCAGCAACTTCAATTTTTTGCTTGCTGTACTTAAAACAAGCAGGCAACGGTGTTGACACCATAAGAATTTTAGGGTCTAGCGACGGTACCAATTTCAATTTTTTACTTGCTGTAATTAAAACAAGCAGACAACGGTGTTGACATCATAGGAATTTTAGGGTTTAACGACAGTAACCCACAGCACTACCCACAGCAGCTGAGGCTGCGGTCACGCCATCGCTTTACGAAGGCTAGCCGAGCTGTTACATCAAGTTTCTTTGCGATGACCGTTCAGCCACTGGCCAGTGACCTTGGCGTCGGACAGGAGCAATCATAGGTCTTTTCCCTTCATTTTATGTGTCCTCGTTCACATAGCAGAAGCCACCGCAAAAGATTTCTTGAATTGATTTACTTAAAACAAGCAAACAACGGTGTTGACACCACAGGAATTTTAAGGTTTAGCGACAGTAGCCACTTAATTGTTTTACTTGCTTTACTTAAAACAAGCAAGCAACGGTGTTGACACCGTAAGAATTTTAGGGTTTAGCGACAGCAGCAACCTGATTTTTTACTTGCTTTACTTAAAACGAGCAAGCAACGGTGTTGACACCATGGGAATTTTAAGGTTTAGCGACAGCAGCAATTTCAATTCTTTACCTGCTTAGCAAGCAACGATGTTGACACCATAGAAAATTTAGGTTTTAGCGACAGCTTTAAGATGATGAAAGGTCTTGTAAGAAACAAGCACTACCCACAGCAGCTAAGGCTGCGGTCACGCCATCGCTTTACGACAGCTAGCAGAGCTGTTACATCAAGTTTCTTTGCGATGACCGTTCAGCCACTGGCCAGTGAACTTGCCGTTTAACGACCGCAAGCATGTGTCCTTGTCCTGCATTTGTTGTGGCCTCGTTCACAGCAGGAACTTCAATCTTTTCCTTGCTTTACTTAAAACAAGCAGGCAACGGTGTTGACACCATAAGAATTTTAGGGTTTAGCGACGGTAGCAACTTTAATTTTTTACTTGCTGTACTTAAAACAAGCAGGCAACGGTGTTGACATCATAGGAATTTTAGGGTTTAACGACAGCAACCCACCTACACCAAACTCACCCTGCGGACAGAATGCTGTCGAGGTAGGCCGAACAACAACATTCTCGTGCTGGCCTTCAACTGGGTAGTTAAAGGAGGCATGATTGCTATCGTAAAGCGATGGCGTGACCGCAGATTCAGTTGGTTCGGGCGATGCGTTATTTCTGAACCAGCTCTCTTGAGATGCTTGCCGCCAGAAACAATTTTTTAAGGTTTGGCGTGTTTTAAGAGGTCACAACTTTTCTGGAGTTTAACGACTGTAAGGAAACAGCACTGTGGCCTGCTTGATTGTTTCAATGCTTACGAACTGTAAAAGATTCGTTGAGGTGTATGTAAATTAGTTGTTAAAAGTTCAAGCCGAAAGAAATAAAACCTTTAAATCTAATGTGAGGGGATTCTCTGGGCGGGTGGGGTTTCTTCTAGAAGATAGCTTGACTAGAAATAGCTTGACCTTAAAGCTTCAAAGTCAGAGCTGCTGAACCCTAAACCCTAAACCCTAAATTTTAGACGGCTTGCGCCGAAGGTGCGACAGCGCAGCTTCTGGTTTGATGTTCAGCAGGTACGCAGGATTTAAGGCAAGCAACGGTCGACCATAGGGCAGTTTAAGTAAATTGACAAGTTTTTTCTAAGTGCAACTGAACGGTTTAAGTAAATTGAAATGACCCAAGCAAAACACCCAACCCTAAACCTTTAACCCTAAACCCTAAACCCGAAAACCCTAAATCCTAAACCCGAAAACCCTAAACCCTAACCCTAAACCCGAAAACCCTAAATCCTAAACCCGAAAACCCTAAACCCTAACCCTAAACCCGAAAACCCTCAACCCCTTAACCCGAAAAGCCTTAGCGTCCGCAAGGGTTGGTTTCAGTAAATTGAAAGAGTTGCCCCCCCCCCTGTTGGCAATCTGTACCCCCCTAAGATTACCACCTGCTGACAATCTAAATCCACTGTGATTGCTACGTGTTGGCAATCTGTACTCCCTTAAGGTTCCCACCTGTTGGCAATCTGTACCACCCTAAGATTGCCACCTGCTGACAATCTAGATCGCCGATGATTGCCACCCGTTGGCAATCTATACCCCCCCCTTAAGATTGCCACCTGCTGACAATCTAGATCTCCTGTGATTGCCACCTGTTGGCAATCTATACCCCCTTCCCCCCCCCCATACGATTGCCACCTTCTGACAATCTAGACCCCCTAAGATTGCCACCTGCCGGCAATCCATCAGGCCTGGTAAGTGGCTGACACCGGGCCAGCTGCATCAAGGACTCCATGGCCTAACGGCCAAGGCGCTCCGGTCGAATCTCTGTGCGGGAATCCCGGAGAGATGGGTGGTTCGATTCCCCCTGGAGTCACTCCCCCCTTGCCACCTGTTGGCAATCTGTACCCCCCTAAGATTGCCACCTGTTGGCAATCTGTACCCCCCTAAGATTACCACCTGCTGACAATCTAAATCCACTGTGATTGCTACTTGTTGGCAATCTGTACTCCCTTAAGGTTCCCACCTGTTGGCAATCTGTACCACCCTTAGATTGCCACCTGCTGACAATCTAGATCGCCGATGATTGCCACCCGTTGGCAATCTATACCCCCCCCCCTTAAGATTGCCACCTGCTGACAATCTAGATCTCCTGTGATTGCCACCTGTTGGCAATCTATACCCCCCCCCCCCCCTACGATTGCCGCCTTCTGACAATCTAGACCCCCTAAGATTGCCACCTGCCGGCAATCCATCAGGCCTGGCAAGTGGCGGCTAAGCACCAAAAACGCAGACGCTCTTTCAACCCCAAACCCTAAACCCCTAACCCCGAAAACCCTGATTCTCACTTCAAGGCCTGGATCGTCACTTCGGGTTG